GCATTCCCCAGGGTTAAGGCTGATGGAATATCCCTATACCAGATGGGAGATGGGGGCTTTTCCTGTGACTCCCCCCATCCTCCAGCTGGAAGACGTGGGGAGGGGTGCATAGCCCTAGAGAGGTAGAATGAGGGGAAATACTCCTCAGTGCCCAGAGATGGGGAATTGAGAGCAGCTGTTGACACCCTGGGTTCAGATCTATCTTTCAGCAACGAAGCCGGGCAGTCAGTGGCTCGGAGCTGTTTCCCCATTGATGAAAATGGAGATTGTAAATCTGATTTGAGAAAGCTCTGAATTTGGCCTCAACCAATGGTAATGCTGCGTATTCGAAGGACAACAATAGGGGTGTGTGTGTGTGTGTGTGTGTTACACACAACGAGCCTATAGAGTCATAGATTAAAGAGGGGGATGGATGGGGAGGCGACTACCCAGAGGGGAAGGTGGCAAGAAGCTGGGGTCCAACCGTGAGGACCCAAAACTCCATCCACACCTTGGCTTCCATCTCTGTTAGGTGACCCTGTCTGCATGGGAGCAGCCACAGGAACACAGGCCTGTGGGAGGGAGAAGGACCAGCCCCGCCCCCAATCCCACGTGGCCTTGCCTGGAGGCCCCAGCAGGCATGGGACGGCAGGAGTTTCATGCAGTTTATCACGAACCAGCTGTATTGGAAAAACCCCATCTATATACAGATGTGGCGTGGCTCTGCCCTGGCACAGCCAGCTGGCTGGGGGCACAGGGTGGGCAGGCAGCCTGCTCGCTGGCGTGGGGCTTGGAGGCCGGCAGAGGGGAAGTTTACCAGCACCACTGTCTCCTCTTGGCCTTGCTAAGCTCTCGGGCATTAGTTCCACTTAGATAGGCACCCCTGCCTGTGACCTTCCCTCTGTCTCTCCCACTTCCCTTGGCCAAGGGGGTTCCAGGTCCCTGGTCCCCTTGCCCTGCAGAGACTTCATAGATCAGAGGGTTTTTCTGTCTGTCTGTCCTGCAGAGCTTGCCCAGGTGTCCTGCTGGTCCCATTCCCCTTACCCACCACGGGTTCTTTAGATCTTCCTTCCCCGACCCCAGCCCCTGTACTCTGGATTAAGTGGGGGAGGCCATATCTGAAATCTGGGCAGGACAGGGAGTCCCTGGCCTGCTCTGGATAGAGTGGAGGGCCCTAGTTTGGGAGGATGGTCCACCTGGGGTCTGGGGAGCGTTGGGGCTGGAACCTGGGCTGAGATGTCCTGGGGCTGTTGTAATGGGGTTAGGAAGGCTTTGCTGGCAGGCGTGGGGCAGGGGGACAGGGAAAGGGAAGGGAGAGGCCCTCAGATTTTGATCTCCGTCCGGAAGGTCTGCTGGACGTGTTCTGTATGCGGGTGACGCCGTGCCCGGATGGTGAGGCTGCCGTCCTCCCGCAGAGCTGAGGTCACCGACGTCGGGTCCACGTCTTCCGGCAGCTGGCACTTGTGAGCGAAGGTGTTCATGACGGTGCCGTCAGCCGCCAGCTGGGGAAGGGGTGACCCATCAGGCAGGCTGCCCCGATCCCTGTCCTGCTTGTGACAAGCTACAGCCCTCTTCTCCCTATTCTAACCGCAGCCAGGCCCCACATGCTGAGGGGCTCTGCCCTCAGGTGTGGAGGGGCTGCCCAGGGTGGTGATGGCCACAGGCCGAGGGCTCTGCAGGGACAGCACAGGGGTGCTCCACGGAGCTCCAGTAGCTCTAAGGGACAGGCAAGGGGCATGGGGAAGAGGTGGGGCTTAGAGAGAGAGGCGGCTCCATGGCAGCGGCTCAGCATCTGGGGCTCGTGGGGAACGCAGAGATGACAGAGGAGAGCCGTGCCTTCCTGGATCCCCAGACACATTGGGCATCTGCCCGCCGGAGCTGAGCGTGGCCCCTCCCCCGCAACTCAGCCAGCACATAGTGTCCAGGGGAGTTAGGGGCGGCTGAGTCACTGTTGGGGGTGGCAGGGCTGGCACGTGCTGCCCGCGGGTCCTGGTGCCCCCAGTCCATGGCATCCCTGGCAGGGATGCCCAGGAGTCCACCCTTGAATGTGGAAGGGAGGAAGCCAGCCCCTGGGGGCTTAGGAGGAGGCCTGGGGCAGGTCCTCTCCTCTCTCCTGGCAGCCGTGGCTGTTCCTGGGCAACGCCCCTCTTCAGGCCTGGCCATGCCCTCCCCAGGGTGGAGGCCCCAGTGCCTCTTCCAAGTTCGGACTCAGACACCCTAGAGACCCAGTGACCCTGAGACCTGTGGGCAGACGGTGTGTGTGGTTTGGAGTGTGTGTGACCCTAAACTGCAGGGTCCCTGCCCAGCCTTGGGCCTAATTTAGGAGTCCCAAGATGGGGAATGGAGCTCTGGCTATGGGAGGGAAGAGGGCTTGAGGTGTGTCACATGGAGAAACCCCTCCCCCACAGACCAGGTGAGTTCCCCAGCTACCCGCATCCACCCTCTACAGCTACCAGAGGAGCTGTCCTCACTCTGCCATCACCATCTCACACCCGTCATCTCCCACCCTCAAGCCCCCCCACCTCAGGCTCCCTCTGCCCACATCCCTCCGTCCCTCTCCCATTCCCCAGAGGCTCCCTCAGCCTGCCCAGGGCCCTGGAAGAAAGGATCTGGGAACCCTGGTGCAAAGAGAGGCAGTGAGGGGCCCCATGGCCGTGGGCTACAGGCACAAGGCCTTCAATTAGCCCTGGGGGTGTTTGGGTGGGGAAGGGACACTGGCCAGGGTCTGGAGTCCCAGGATGGGAAGGGGGAGTAGGAGGCATTGGAGCTGGGAGCGAATTTGGGCTGCGGTGGGTGTGTGGGGGGGCTCACCTTCTCAGCCCGCACCTCGATGTGGTTGTTGGAGGTGGTGACAATGATGTCTTCAGGCGAGAAGTCCCTCACATCCACTGCAAACTCATAGGCGTCTCCAAGGGTCTTGATGTTGCCTGGCGCCCCGGGGCGGGCTGTGGGGTGGGCTGCTGTGAGTGAGGCATGGAGCAGGCCTTGTGTGCAGATCCGGGGGTTCCGGCTCCTTCTCTTGGGGCAAGGGGCGGCTCCCCCAGGCTCTACCTCCCCCTGAGCTGTTTCTCCCTAAGCTCCTCCTCATTCCTACAGCCCACCTTTTCTGGGGTGGGGGTGGGACCTCACCCGACACAGTGTGTGTGTATATGAGGCTAGATCTGTAACAACCCCACCCCAGGCCTGGAGCCTGGGGACTGCCTCCCACCCCTCACCCCGTCCGGCCCTCCAGGGCTCCAGCTGGGACTGGCTGCGGTTCCAGAGCATGGGTGGCCATGGAACCATGTCCAACCCCCGGGGCCACGACTGTTCCTTAGAGGCCCACCTGTTTTCATGGCCACATCTGTCCCTGTGGCCACATCTGTCTTGGTGGCCACACATGGCTGCAGGCTGTGCAGCACCTGTTCCAGGCGGACCGGCAGCCACAGCCTGTTCCGTGGCGCCCTGGAGCAGATGTCCCCTCCCTGTGCGCCTCCCCTCCCCTCAGGGCCCGGATCACTTGCCTGGGAAGGCCAGGGGCTCCGAGTGTGGCCGCATGAAGCTGCCAAAGTCATCGGAAAACATGCTCAGGGCCTTCTCCATGGGTGGGTCCTGGGCCGGGAGGGCACGGGAGGCCGAGGAAGAGGTGGAAGAGGAGGAGGAAGAGGAGGAGGAATGGAAACTTCTCTCCGCTCGGAAGGTGGAAGAGGTCCTGTGGCTCATCCACGGGCGGCGCCGGGCCCTGCCCAGGCGGGCAAGGGCTGGACAAGAGAGGGTGTGGGCACAGGCCTCGGGAGAGCGTGCCGGGCCCCGACTGCGGCCGCTTTATAAGGCCGACTGTCCCTGGGCTTGGGGCCAGCCCCTTGTCTACTAGCTAAATTTAGGCCTCTCCATGGCCCAGAGGGGGCTGGAAATCTTCTCCCGTGCGCCGGCCCTGCTGACAGCCCGACACACGCAGGCCGAGAGGGCTGAGCTCACAGCCTGACATTCCAGGCCGGCCACAGCAGCCCCAGGGGCCTCCCCACCACTGCACAGGGCTGGATCCTGTCTCCTTGCCACTTGGACCTCGGTGCCTGCCCCAGAACCTTGCAAGTTTGGGGTTTCTTGTGTGTTTTGTTTCCCCCATCGGCCTGGGGGCTCCTGAGGACTGTGCCTCCCCACGAGACTCTGGTTCTCCTCCATGGCTGTGCCTCCCCCATCAGCGTGCAGGCTCCTTGGGGACGGGGTAGGTGGAAGCACCACTGCTGTGTGACGTCAGGAGTTCCTTCCCTCAAGGCAGACAAGCTTCACAGCCCATCTCTAAGGAAAGGTTGAGCCCTGCCAGGGGGTGTAGAATGTGCAGCTGTCCCCTGCCAGCCCCTACGGGGACCTGGATTCTATACCTGCACTCCCTCTGACTCTCAGAACATGTAGAGGCCCCAAGAGGACAAAGCCGGCAGCTTTCTCCTTAAAGGTCTAGAAGGTCATGTTCCTGACAGCTGTCTGCTCCACCCTGTGTCAGAGGTGATGCCTGCGACTGCCTTAGGTGGGATTTCAGTCAGAGGTAAAAGAGAATTCCGGAAGACAATTATTCTAGCCCTGACTTCTGGAGTGCCTTCTGGGCACAGGCTCCTGGCTGCAAGCTGTCTAAGTGGGGCCCCGTTTGATCCCCGCACAGCTGGGAGGGTGGAGGCGCTCTTCCCATGTTATGGAGGGGGAAGTGAAGCCTCTTGGAAAGGGCGGAGCTCGCACTTGCATAAGTGGCAGGGCTGGGATTCGAACCCAGGTGTGTTGGACCCAAAGCCCTTCAGAGGCTGAGGTGGTTTGAACATACGCCTATGGAGACAGGCTGGCCCGGAAGAGCCAGAGAAGCCCCTCCCTACCCACCTGCTTGCTCAGCAAAGCCAGGACTGACCTTGCGCTGGGCCAGGGTGGAGGCCATTCTGAGAGGCAGCCAGGCCCTCTGCTCTGCCCAGGTTGCAGTTCAGGGCCTCTGCTCTCCTCTCCCGTCTGGCCCTACCGTCCCAGATCAGCTCCAATGCCTCCTCCCACAGGGAGGCCTCTCTGACTGCTCCTGCTCACATGGGCCCACACCCGGTCCAGATGCCCCCAGCACTGACTGTCTTAGTCCTCCCACAGCACCTGGCAGTGTGACATGGTCTTCCTGTGTGCTGTGACTCTCTGCTGTGTCCCTTCTTCCCTATCCAACTGGCAGTTCCCATGGGGGCAAGGGTTCACCTGTCTCCCCATTAGATTGAAGGTTCCTGAAGATGGGCAGTTTCTGTTTTATCAGAGCCCCCTACAACCCAGTCTGGAGCTTCATCCTGGAGGGCTCCTTCTACAGGGGTTTTAGCAGTGCTAGTGGTATGTGGAGTGGAAGCAGAGCAGGGCACAGGGCACAGTGGTGGGCCAGGCTGGTGCCTGGAGCAACAGGGCCTGTCACCCCTGGCAGAGTTTCCTGCCCGTGTCAGGGCCTGTGACACCCAGCCTGGCTGAGGGGATTCTAGGGCCACTGGGAAGCCACCAGCACTGAGGTGAGATGGAGAGAGGGTGGGGCGGGGTGGGGGGCCCAGAGCCTGCCGCTCGCCAGGGAAACAGGAGCCGGTGGCTAAATGCAGACACACTGTCATGGTGCTGAGGGCCTGAGTCACTGCCCCTGGATGTCAGATCCCGTTACCCACCCCGCCCACCATCCCTCCTCCCCTTTTCCCCACTTCCCGAGGCATCACCCACACAAATACTTGGTCCTCTGGCTTCACTGGCCCAGAGGGACCTCAAAAGGTCATCAAAGCCATTCCCCTGCCTCTACCTTCAGATCACAGGGACAGAAGGAGCGACAAAGATGATGTAGTCCTTTGAATCCCAGTCACCCAGGGGAGCTTTTCACAAACATGGACCCTTTCCTTGGACCTCAGGATTGTGATTTGGGATCTGGAGAAGGGACCTTGCATCTCTTCGCATCAGCTCCCCACACAGCCAGCCCACAGGCCAGTGATGAAGCCGTCATCACTCGGCAGGTATTCATTGAAACCGTGCTATAAATAGGTGCTGGGCACGGTTCTAGGCTTTGAAGGACTCAGAGATGAATAAGGCAGAGACAGGCCCCTGCTTCCAGGCTCACCTCATCGGACAGAAGAGGAAACCGAGGCTCTAATTGATGAAGGAGTTAGGGTCAGCAGAGCTGTGCTGGCTTCAAACTCGTCATCCTACTGTGCCCCCTGGCTGCCCTCTTCTCAGCCTCCTGGTGCTCACAGGGCTGGGGGTGAGGTCGGATGTGGATATGCAGTGCCGGCTGTGGGACCGTGGCCAGCAGCTGCCCCACACCACACACTGGGGATCGGGATGTCGACAGGGCAGCCAGTTCTGGTGCTGTGCAGAGTCAACAGGTCGGGGTGGCCAAGGTGAAGGCGGGCTCGAGTCCATACAGAGCAGCAACCCCCATCCCACCTCCCACAACACACATCTTCGATTTTGATTTGACTTGCCTGGCATCTAGGGGCAGAGGGTAGGTAGCCCATGGTCCCAGATTTTAACAATCATTCAAAGGCCATCATAAGCTTCAGAGAGTGGCTTTCTCTGGTGGGAGTGGAGGCAATTGTCCCCAACCTCTTGCCCAAAGTGGCATCAGACTCAACTCTTCTGTTCTGTGCCCAAACCATTGCCCTGGTTCAGCCTCAGGAGCTGGAGGAGCTTTGGGCAGGGAAAGAGTTGCACAGTGGAGGGCTGGGTTCAGCCTCTGCTGTGTGACCTTGGATGAGTGACTCAACTCTGATCATCTACAAAATGGCGATGCTCTCCCCATTCACAGGGTGCGGGGAGAAAGATTTGAGTTGCAGATCGGAAGCTCCTGACACGTAGCATGTGCATGTCCCCTCACACCTGTGCTCCCATTCTCTGTTGGAGTGGGACAAAGTCTGTGGAATTACCCGGAAGTCCCCAGACAGAGCCGCTGGCTCTTGGACGTGTGCTTTGAGAGGCATTTCCTGAGCCTGGAGGGTCTGGACACAAGGATCAAGTCCAAGTTCCTGACCCCAATTCACTGCCTTGCCTCAGGTGTTGGCCTCCTCGCCAGCCCTGGACAAGATGGCTCATCAGGACGGGACTGTGCGGCACAGCCTGCAGGCTTTGGAGCCAGGCAAACCTGGGCAGGGAATCCCGGTTCTGCCTCGGCCTCTGTGATCTTGGACAGGCAGCCTCGCCTCCCTGAGACGCCATTTCTCTCCAACGGGATCACACTGCCTGCCTCGTGGGATTTCCGTGGGCACTCAGGGTAATTAATCTGGGGAAGGCTGACTCTCTACCTGGCACACAGGGAGGCTGTGGTCATGCTGACCCCACTCACCTTTGCCGGCCTGCCTTCTCCTTCCCTGCCCAGCCTCCTCCCCTCTCCCTCTGTGCTTTTCCAAACCTTCCATGTCCAGTTCTGAGACTCCTGGGCCCTGAGCCTCAGCCCTGGCAGATGACCCCTCGCTGTCCTGCTGTGTGTGTGTGCTCCCCCTCCCCAGCCCCTGTCCAGCAGCACCCAGGAGCCTGAGGACAGCTGGGCACCACCCTCTGTGCCACTGTGGTGGGTGGAGAGGCTCCTGCTTCCCTCCCTCTTGGCAGCTCTGCCCTGCATGGCTCTGGCCTCCACAGTTCTGGTTGATTTGTCAAGGACATTTTTAATCTCCACTGTAAACCCCGGGCCGAGGTGGGTGGGGTGGCGGGGGGAGAATGATGCTTGGTAGAGCACATACCTGTCCAGGTGCACTGGAGCTGGGAGCAAAGGAGGCTCTGAGAGGAGGGCCTGTTCAGCCACAGCAGGAGGACTGACAGGTGAGGGGTCTCTGGGCATGGACTGGGGTATGAACCTGGCAGGGCCAGGCAGGCAGGGCAGAGGGGATGGTAGGGGCAGGAGCCAGCACCTCACTTTGGCTTTGCAGACGCCTCCTTCTGGTCCTGGGGTTTTCCTGCCTCTGTGGCCTGAGCGGTTGGGGAGAGAGGAGGGTGCTCCGAGATGGGGAGGGAGAGTCAGGGCCATCCATGGGACTCTGCAGTGAGAGAGTCACAGCCCTGGGCAGAGACTGATTCCAGCAGCGGAAGTGCCAAGCGACCCAGAAGGGTGGGAGCAGTGGCCACAGAAGGGGAAGGGGCTCTGAGCAGGGCTTAGGCTCCAGCCTGTGCCCAGTCTGCAGCTAGACACGGGGGGATACCTAGGAATCCCACCCCCATCCCACAAAATGACACACACAGGTACACACCCTCAGTGACGGAACCTCAGGGATGAGGGCACACACAGACCTAGTGTGGTAACTTCACACACACACACACACGAAAGCACAATCCTTCCTCTTGATTTGGTGGGGAGAGCACTGGAAGGGCCTAGAGGCAGCGCGAGGATGTGCAGCAGCTCACCCGAGTCCCTCCCTCTATCTGCTTCCCCAGGGGCCTGATGGAGGAGTTGGTGGGGCTGCGTGAGGGCTCCTCAGGGGACCCTGTGACTCTGCAGGAGCTGTGGGGCCCATGTCCCTGCATCCGCCGAGGCGTCCGAGGTGAGAGCCAGGTCCTCTTCCCTTCCCCTTGGAGGACCACTCGGGACATCACTCCTGCCCAGCTCCCACCGCACCTCCCTGCCCAGGAGCCACCCTCCTCCTGGCATTTGTCTAGGACATCACTGCCCAAAGTCTCCTGGGAGGCAGGGAGAGAAGGGGTCTGTCTGTCCCACTGTCTGTGGGTCAGATGGGTCAGGCATCTGCCCTCTGCCTTTCGGGAGATATAGCCCAAGGCCTGGTCACTGTGCCCATCCTCCACCCAGGCCTCTCCCTCACCTACCTGTGCCAGTGAGGGGACGTGGGAGTTAGCTGCTGGGACAGCTGGGGCCACAGCAAGGGGCTGGGGCAACCTGCACTTGGCACCTTTCCTTGGAACCCCATGTGCCTTGTTCACTTTGAAACCTGACTGCCCCCTCAGCTACAGGGCAGAGCAAGTAGGGACTCCAGAAGGAGGCTAAGTGCAGCCCCAGGGGCTGGTGCCCACAGCCAGTGAGGGCCAGCTCCCAGGCTGGGGTGGTAGCCAGCTGGCCAGGGGCATTTCTGTGGACCCAGAGGATACCTGTGCCACAGGCCCTGGGACGCGCAGGAGTCTGCTAGACCCTGGTGCTCTGTCAGCTACGGACTCTGCGGGGATACAGGTGAAAGCTGTAGCTGCCAGCCTCCTCCACACTCCCTGTCCCCCAGGAACCTCCAAGTACAGGCAGGGATGCAGAGGGTGGACAAGTCAAAGGCCTTCCGGCCGGAGCAGCAGGTCTGGCACCCACTGTGCCGACGCTGTCACCCACCACAAATTCTGCCCAGCCCCCAGTGTGAGGCAGGGTCCTTCAGGACCACCCCAGACTCTACTACCAGGGTCCTCCTTGCCTGGAGCCAAGCAGACCTCCAGGAAAGGGACTGTCTGTGCCCCTGCCCCAACATCAGCCGGGACTCCGATGCCCTGCCCCAGGTGGCCTGGAGTGGCTGAAGCAGAAGCTGTTCCGCCTGGGCGAGGACTGGTACTTCCTCATGACCCTCGGGGTGCTCATGGCCCTGGTCAGCTATGCCATGAACTTTGCCATCGGGCGTGTGGTCCGAGGTAACTTTTCCCTGGCAGGTGCTGCTCTGGGCCAAGGGATTCTAAGCACGCTCTGGGGATACCAGATGGGCCACCAGGTGCAGTGGTGCAGGGAGAGATCTGGGTGCGGGGAGGGCTCTGGCTCCACTCCTGACTTGCTCTGTGATCCTGGGCAGGCTCCTGCCCCTCTCTGGGCCTCAGTCATCTCATTTGAACAAGGGAGAGAGGCTTGAATGTTCCCAAGAGCCCTTCTTCCTCTGACCTCTCTGCCTCCTCTTCCAGCCACCCCGTTCCTTCTCCTTCCCTCCTCCATGCCTGGGGCAGGAATGGGGACACGTGCCTAGATCACCAAACTTGGAGTCTTCCCCTGCTCCCTCAGCAGCCTGCCTCCACCCTGAGGCCTCCCTGGAAGAGGGGGTGTGGGCCAGTCTAAGACACTTTCTCTGGAGACCCTCAGCTGCCAGAAGCAGGACCTACTATGGTGTTTGGTGCTTCACGCCTGTGTCATTTAGTTCTCAGTGGCCCTCTTTAGTCTTCAATGAGCCTGTGAGGGAGAGCCCATCACTAGCCCACTTGACAGATGGGGAAACTGAGGCTCAGAGAGGCTGAGTGACTTGCCCAAGGTCACTCAGCTAGGCAATGGTAAACCTGGGATATGGACCCAGGGTCATACTCCTGCCTCTTCTTGGGGTTCTTCGCCTCACCGGGTGGCCTAGTCCTACCCTCTTCATGACTCCATTGACTGGTCAGTAAGTGGGCACCACAGTGTCTGGCCCTGAGGGCTGCAGAGGCTGTGGGTGCCTCCCTGATATCTGGCTGTCCCCAGCGCACCAGTGGCTGTACCGGGAGATTGGGGACAGCCACCTGCTCCGGTATCTCTCCTGGACTGTGTACCCTGTGGCCCTCATCTCTTTCTCCTCGGGCTTCTCCCAAAGCATCACGCCCTCCTCTGGAGGTGAGTCCACAGTCGCCACACCAGTCCCCACTGGCCAAAACCTTCTCAGATCCCAGGGGGCTTCTGATGGGGGGAATCGGGAAGCGGCAGCCTCATTTCACAGACGAAAGCCCAGAAGAGTTATGTGGCTTGCCTGAAGGCACACAGCAAGAAGGCCAGATCTTGACTCTTAGGTCACTGCTGGCCCTACTGACTTTCCAAGGGCTTCTTGGAAGGAGATGCCACTGTGGGGCCTGTGCTGGTGCCAGGAAGGGGCCCGTGGAGGAGGCACAGCTCCCCCAGGCACTCAGCCCTGCCTCCAGCTCCAGGCCAGCAGAGGGGAACTCCAGACTCACTCAGTGGTGGCCTGAGGTTCTGTTCAGGGCTCCCCCACCCTGACACGGCCATCTGCCAGGCCCGGTGGGAGGAACATGGACAACTCGCATTCTCTCTCTGACTTTAGCATCCAAATCTGCAAAATGAGTTTATGCATCCTAACCTCTGAGGGTTCTGTGTGATCAAAATAGGGCCAGGTGCAGTAACAGTCTATAATCCCAGCACTTCGGGAGGTGGGTGGATCACTTGATCCCAGGTGTTTAAGACCAAGTTGGACAACATGGTGAAACTCCATCTCTAAAAAAAAGGAAAAAAAAAAAAAACCACCACAACAAAAAGTTAGCCAGGTGTGGTGGTGCCTGCCTCTAGTCCCAGCTACTTGGGAGGCTAAGGTGGGAGGATCACTTTTTAGCCTGAGGAAGTCAGGGCTATAATGAGCCAACGTCAAACCACTGCATTCCAGCCTGGACAACAGAGTGATACCCTGTCTCAAAGGAAACAAAAAAAACCTAACGTGAAAACACCGTGTGGGTAGAGTGTTGAGAGTTTTTTGTTTGTTTGTTTGTTTGTTTGTTTGTTTTTGAGATGGAGTTTTGCTCTTGTTGCCCAGGCTGGAGTGCAATGGCACGATCTCGACTCACTGCAACCTCCGCCTCCCAAGTTCAAGTGATTGTCCTGCCTCAGCCTCCCGAGTAGCTGGGATTACAGGCACCTGCCACCATGCCTGGCTAATTTTTTGTATCTTTAGTAGAGATGGGGTTTCACCACGTTGGCAAGGCTGGTCTCAAACTCCTGACCTCATGATCTGCCCGCCTTGGCCTCCCAAAGTGCTGGGATTACAGGTGTGAGCCACTGCGCCCGGCTGAGAGTTTTAATCTAGAGATTGTCCCCTTCTTGTTCCTGTCCTCTCTGGCTAAGGTTCTGGAATCCCGGAGCTGAAGACCATGTTGGCAGGTGTGATCTTGGAGGACTACCTGGATATCAAGAACTTTGGGGCCAAGGTGGTGGGCCTCTCCTGCACACTGGCCACCGGCAGCACCCTCTTCCTGGGCAAAGTGGTATGGGCAGGGGTGAGGGCACCCCAGCCACCCCACCCACCCAACCCTGCCCCAGCCTGTCCCCCATCACCCTACCAAAGCTGGATCAGAGCAGACTCAGGCCAGTGCCTGCCTTCAGGGAGCTTAGTCTTAGGGGAAGAGCCAGGCCAGGTCCCCAGAGTGTGACAAAAGCCATCTGAGGACAGCCCTGGGGGTTGGAGAGAGGGAGGAGGGGGTGTGGTGGGGAAGCCGTGCTGCCTCTGGGTGAGGCTGTCTATGCTGCCCTCACCTGGGCCCTGGGCCCACCCTTCCCTCTGCAGGGCCCTTTCGTGCACCTGTCTGTGATGATGGCTGCCTACCTGGGCCGTGTGCGCACCACGACCGTCGGGGAGCCTGAGGTTAGGGACTCGGGGCTTCCTTGGAGGACTGGGAGTGGGGAAGGAGGGGGCTGACGCTGAGCCCCGGACTCGGATCCCCCAGAACAAGAGCAAGCAAAACGAAATGTTGGTGGCAGCGGCGGCAGTGGGCGTGGCCACAGTCTTTGGAGCTCCCTTCAGCGGTGAGACCCCCTCATGCCCCGCCCCCTGGGTCCCTCAAGCTCCTCCCCTCACTCCCTAGGTTCCCTCGGCCCCTCTGAGAGCCTGGAGGAGGGGGTAGGTCTCATTCTAGTTCTTACTTCGGCCCCGCCTTGGGTATAGCCACTCCCGGAGGCGGCGGGGGGCGGGTGGTGGGGGGCGTGGTTGGGTGGTGTTGAGAGGCTTCAGGGTAACATTACATAGACTTGGGTTTGAAATCCACTGGCCCCTTGGCCTCTCTGAGCCCAGCTTCTTCCTCTGTAAAATGAGGATCAAACTGTTCCCACCCGATAGTGAGAGGATGCACACCTGCATTCCAGGTTGGACGGGTCTCTGGGCAGCGTGCTCCTCCCTGCCCAGGGCGCATGCCCTGCCCTCCCCTCCTGTCTGTCCCTGTCCAGGCTGTAGCAGAGCAGGACAGATGGGTCAGGGAGGAGGTGACAGGGGGAGGGGGCCCTACAGCCACAGGTGAGTGGGGGTGGGGGGCCCACCTGAGATCAGTGTCGCCCCCAGGCGTCCTGTTCAGCATCGAGGTCATGTCTTCCCACTTCTCTGTCTGGGATTACTGGAGGGGCTTCTTTGCAGCCACCTGCGGGGCCTTCATGTTCCGGCTCCTGGCGGTCTTCAATAGCGAGCAGGGTGAGCCCCCTGGGCTGCCTGACCCTGGCCCTGCCTGGGTGCTGGGGCGAGGTGGCCCCCCCTTCTCCCCTGTGTACACCCCTTGCTCTCCTCTTCCCTCTCTCTCCCTCTTTTTCCTCCTCCCTGTTCCCACCTCTTTGGGAGGATGGAAGGGGCTGACCTGTGCTGAACATGAAGGGCAGGAGCCCTGAGGGTAGAAGGGATGAGGCTGGGCAGGGAGGCAGGAGCCTGGTTGTGGGGGCCTGGAATGCCAGGACACACATTCCGGGTCAGGACCTGGCACCCCCTCCACCCTGGGCTGTTAGTCTGGGACTTGTGTTCGGGTGGGGTGGGAGCGCCATCTCGACTCCCCACTGCTCTCCTTCCCCAGAGACCATCACCTCCCTCTACAAGACCAGTTTCCGGGTGGACGTTCCCTTCGACCTGCCGGAGATCTTCTTTTTTGTGGCACTGGGGTGAGTGGGTGCCTTGGGCCCCTGAGAGTCCAGTATGGCATTCCCCCCAGGCCTGGACTATGGCCCCTGGCACTGGGCTCAGGCTCTGGTCTTACCTCCCTCCACCCCCGCAGTGGCATCTGTGGTGTCCTGAGCTGTGCTTACCTCTTCTGTCAGCGAACCTTCCTCAGCTTCATCAAGACCAATCGGTTCAGCTCCAAACTGCTGGCCACCAGGTAGGCTCCGGGCCTAGGGGCTGGGGACATCTCAGCGAGCCCCTTGTGGGCTCCAAACCTTATGTAGAAAGCCCCACCCCCATCCTCCAACTGAGCCCCTAAATCCTTCCCTAGCCCATGGAGCACCTAACACCACTCTCCAAGTCCCCACAGTCACTGTCCCCCCTTCCTTACTGGGCTACAAACCCCCCATTGAACTCCCATCCCTCCTTCAGTCTACACTCTCTCAGCAATTCCCCATCCCCTCACTGAGCCTCAAACCCTTGCCCCTTCAAATCTTGTGTGGCCTCTGGAGTTGGCCTTAGCATTGGCCAGCCCTCCTGCCCCGAGATGCACATGGCCTGCCCCGGCGTGGCCCACTCTCTCCTCCCTCCCAGCCGGCCTCTGCCCCAATTCTCCTCTTAATCTCCTGTGTGATTCCTCTGCCCTCAGTCATACCCAGTAGCGAGGGGCTCACCTCACGGGCTCCACCCGCTGGAGGGGGCCATGTTCCCTGCTCCCGCCCTTCCTCCTCCCCAGTCCTTGCTCTGCTGCTGCCTGGGCCAGGCCCTGCTTCCCTCTCCTCGGGATGTGGGAAAGGGAGGGCCAGCCCTAGAGCTCACCCACCCTCCACAGCAAGCCTGTGTACTCAGCCCTGGCCACCTTGGTTCTCGCTTCCATCACCTACCCGCCCGGTGTGGGCCGCTTCCTAGCTTCTCGGGTAAGGGGCCCTGAGTGGGGGTGGCAGGAGTGGGAACCCCCATTTGTTTTCCCCTTTACATGTGTCTCACGTAATCCCCTCGGCACCCCACAAGGGCAACACCTGGGCATCATTCTACAGATAAGGAGACCATAGCTCCAGGAGGTCAGAGCCCTGCCCAAGGCCCCCTGCTGGGAAGTGGCAGAGGAGGATTCCAGGCAGGGTCAGGCAGTGCGGGGACGGCGGGGGCCTGCCACTCGGGGCCCCTCAAGTCCAGTTCCCACCTGCCCCACCACAGCTGTCCATGAAGCAGCATCTGGACTCGCTGTTCGACAACCATTCCTGGGTGCTGATGACCCGGAACTCCAGCCCACCCTGGCCCGAGGAGCTCGACCCCCAGCACCTGTGGTGGGAATGGTACCACCCGCGGTTCACCATCTTTGGGACCCTTGCCTTCTTCCTGGTTATGAAGGTGGGCCCCCTGGTCCCCAGATGAGCACAGAGCCAGGACCAGCTCTGGTGGGTCAGGGGGTGCCTCCCTGCACCTGGTGGCATGGAGCCCAGGCCTTCCACCCATACTTCCTGATGTGCCCCCTGCCCACTGCATGGTCCTGGGCAAGTGACTTCAGCTCTCTGGGCCTCACTCTTCCCATCTTTAAAATGGGGTGGTTACTGGGAAGGCTGAGGAGGAAGAAAGGAATGTACCTGGCACAGTGCCAGGCACACAGTGGGCATTTCTCAGGGTGAGGACCCTCCCCTAATGCCAGACTCTGGCAGTGGGCGCATGGCCGGGCACCCTCTTTCTCTCTAGGACACTCCCCTGTCCCCTGTCCTGTCTTCTCTTGTCCATGCCTTGCTCAGGGGCCTCTAACCTCTGCCCTGGGCTCCCCACTCCCACAGTTCTGGATGCTGATTCTGGCCACCACCATCCCCATGCCTGCCGGGTACTTCATGCCCATCTTCATCCTTGGTGAGTCAGGGGTCCTGAGGTTCTGAGAGTTTTGGGGTTCTTGGGGCGGGGCCATGCATCCTGGTTCACCTTCTTCCCGGGTGGTACTGAGGATGGTCCTCAGGGATGGAGGGCTGTGGGGGCTGGGTCAGCCTGGCTTCCCCTCACCCTAAGTCTGGCCAGGAGCTGCCATCGGGCGCCTCTTGGGAGAGGCTCTTGCTCTCGCCTTCCCTGAGGGCATCGTGGCTGGAGGGGTTACCAATCCCATCATGCCCGGGGGCTATGCCCTGGCAGGTGAGTGGGTCAGGGCCCTGCTGGGTGGGCGATGTCGTGGGGCTGGGCTGGACCTGGAGAATTGGCCAGTGGCTCTAGAGGGCACTGAGTCCTCTAGTGAACCCCCCACCTATCATGGGGGTCTGTCCCTCCTGAGCCCCACCATTCCCGGGGGCCCATCACTCCCTCATGGCTCCTGTCCTATCCCCAGCCCCATGGCCTCCCTTATCCCTCTCTTCTCACAAGCCCAGGCCTTGTGGCGCTTCCCACAGTGCCCAGGCTATGGCCTCTTACAATTCCCACCTTAGGCCCTGGCCGCAGCCAGGCCAGTTATGCCCTCACGTGAGGCTGGCCCCTGGCCCCTGGCCCCTGGCTCCTGGCCTGAGCCAAACTGTGTGGCTCTGCCCCTGCAGGGGCTGCAGCCTTCTCAGGGGCTGTGACCCATACCATCTCCACGGCGCTGCTGGCCTTTGAGCTGACCGGCCAGATAGTGCACGCACTGCCCGTGCTGATGGCGGTGCTGGCAGCCAACGCTATTGCACAGAGCTGCCAGCCCTCCTTCTACGATGGCACCATCATTGTCAAGAAGCTGCCATACCTGCCACGGATTCTGGGCCGCAACATCGGGTGAGTGGCGCACACCTCAGGCTGGCTGAAGGAGGTCACAGTGTTTGGGCTTGGCTGGGGGTGGAGGGCATCTCCAAAAAGAAATGCCACCGCAGCTGATCTTGGACATGGGGGCTGGGAGGGGCTGACACACAGCCGTGCTCTGGTCTCCATTCTCCCCAGTGCCCTGGGTGACCTTGAGCAAGTCATTGGCCTTGAGGCCTCAGTGTCTGTCTAGGGGTCAGCAGGGCTCCACAGCAGGAGGATGAGTATTGCCCCGTGTACAGGTTGAGGAAACCGGGGCTCAGAGAGGTGCCGTGTCTTGCTCCAGGTGACACGGAGAGTCAGCACCAGATTCGAGAGGTCTCCTCCCCTCTCCCCACTTCTGCTGTCCTTGCTGGGACTTTGGGAGTAGGAGGTGGAATGAGAATGGAAATGGGCTTTGAGGTCCTCACTCAACCAGATAGGACCAGAGCAGCTTCTGGCCCCAGAGAGGCAGACCAAAGAGGCTCTGAGAGTCCCTGGGTCCGAGGCCCCGCTCCAAACACAAGCAAGCTGCTGCCTTGCTCTGAACCTGTTTCCCCATCTGGAAAATGGGGCTGTTTATACCAGTGGTTTTCAGACTTCCAAGTTTTTCCTTGGGGGTGACATACCCTTTTAAATCAAATGGAGCTATGCAGGGAAGGCTGCTGGGTCTGTACTCCAATCTCGTTATCCGTTAATGTGATGGCCACTCACTGAGCACCTGGCAGATACTGGTTTTCCGTCATCTCACACTCAGCTCTGTCCAAGCTGGGACAAGACCCAAGTGGAGCTGGTCTGGGGGACATGGGGGTCCAGGGGGCTGGAGATTTGGAACGGGGCCATCAGTAATGTGGTCCCCAGGTTTCCTCCCACCGTGGGTTCTAGGAATCCCTCATTCCACGAACCTCTCTGGCCCTGCCCACACTCCAGAGCCGTGGGTCCCCAGTTCTAGCAAAGCTCCCCCCAGATCCTCCTGCCAGCCTGGGTCTCACATCCCCGACTCCAGGACCTGATGGGAGCCCCTCTGCCTGCAGCTCCCACAGCGTGAGGGTGGAGCACTTCATGAACCGCAGCATCACCACACTGGCCAAGGACATGCCGCTGGAGGAGGTGGTCAAGGTTGTGACCTCCACAGACGTGGCCAAGTATCCCCTGGTGGAGAGCACAGGTGCCCAGCCGGAAGGGAGGGGGAAGTCGGGGGTGGGGGATGCCCTCTGCCTCCTTCGTGGACCTGTCAGGCAGACAGGATCTGCATCCAGGCTCTGTGACTTAGCAACCAACCGTGTGACCTTGGGCAAGTCACTTCACGTGAGCCTCAGTTTCCTCATCAGTAAAATGGAAATCATGGCCACCCTCCTTTGGGATGGTTGACATGTCTAAAGAGAGTCAGCCGAGTGCTTGTAAGGCATCCCCTGGGCAGCTGCTGGGGTAGGAGCGTGGCGACACCACCAGGGTCTTCCAGAAGCTTGGCCTCAGGCCTGTTTCTTCGTAATGTGCCTTCCTACCTCTCCCTCTCCACTTGCCAGAGTCCCAGATCCTGGTGGGCGTCGTGCAGAGGGCCCAGCTGGTGCAGGCCCTCCAGGCTGAGCCAGCTTCCTGGGCTCCAGGACACCAGGTAGGTACTCCTGAGGGGCGTGGGGATGGGGCAGGGATCGGTCAGCAGGGATGGGAGAGGAGGGACCCGCTGATCTCCTGAGGAAGAGGTGGTCTGAGAGAGGCATCCTGGGGAGGCCGGCCCTGCACCCATAACCCTAGCCCAGAGGGAGTTTCCCGTGGTCATGTGGACACTGCAGGCTAGGGCCCCTGGGCTCCTCCTCATGCTCCACTTCTTGGCAGGAAGATGATAGAGAGAGAGGGTCTCCACCAGGTCTATGATGCTTGTCCTCATGAATAAGTGGGACGCTGTGTCACTCAAGCCCTAGTCTCCTGCTTGGCTGAGCCACAGCTTATAAAGCCAGGACCCAAGTGTGGTTCCTTGGGGAGTCCACCGAGCCTTGGGCATCCTCCATGAGTCTTCTAAGCCTGGGTGGCCCAGGTTGCCTGGTTGTGTATGTGTTGGGGTTCAGGGTCCTCCCTGACTCCCTCTGGACTCTGTCCAGGGGCCCAAGGTCACATCTTCTCCAGCAGAGACCAGGCCAAGAGAGCCAGCAGTGTCTCCAGGACATCTTGGCTGGAGGCTGCCCCACGGAACCAGTGACCCTGACGCTATTCTCAGAGACCACCATGCACCAGGTAACAAATATTGGGGGGTGTGACGCACGAGGCCCCTGGGGCAGGGCAAGAGCTGATGAGGAGCTCAGGCTCCAGCCTCCCGTCCCAACCTGCCCTGCCCACCTTATGCTGCTTCCTGCCCCTCCTGGGCCTGTGTCTTCATCAGCTGTCCGGGCAGGGAGGCTCCCGCCCTGTCGCCCCTCATTGCCAGGGTTGCAGGGATGATGCAGAGAGACAAGGGAAGTGGGGGGCTTGGCAAATGGAAGTCTCTGGGTGGAGAAAGACAGTGGAGTTGCACCAGGGCACACGTGCGTTTCAATTTTAGGTCCACCACATTCTCCCTGTGTGATCTTGGACAAATTATGTAGCCAGTTGAGACAGAGCCTGGCACATGGGCGGGGAAGGGGCAGAGGCCCACAGGGAACCTGGAGATGGCCCTGCCCCCTCTGTGCTGCTGGAGGGTGCTGGATATTGGGTCCTGTCCACCTGCAGCCTCGCCCAGACCCTTGCATGGACTCTGACATCCCCCAGTGGCCACACTGGACATTGCAGGCCTGGATCTCTTGCCTCCCACACACATCAGGCCCGGCCCCTCTTCCCGGCTCAGAGGCGTGGCAGAGTGGGCCAGAGGGTGGGCTGGGCGCCTTCTACCCTCCAGTGTTTCCTAACAATCCCCCATCCAGGCACACAACCTCTTTAAGCTGTTGAACCTTCAGTCCCTCTTCGTGACATCGCGGGGCAGAGCTGTGGGCTGCGTGTCCTGGGTGGAGGTACCAGGGTCCCGGGGCAGAACAAAGCAGGGGACCCATGCCTGAGAAGGCTGGGGAGGTGGGGGGGACACCGGCATGCTCCCTTCCAAACCTGGGGGGATTCAGAGGATACTGATGAGTCCCTCTTCCTGGCCCAGATTGGCCACTGGGCCTGGCTCCCCTACCTTGTTTCCTGACCAGTGGCCAGCCTGCCCCCTCTGTCTCAGTGACCCCATCTGTGCAATGGGGTGGCACAGGCTCTACTATTCACCCAGAAACCACCCTTAGGGGACTAAAAATGCTGGTGCCGCCTTGTCAACCTCCTCTACATCCCCCCTCCAGCCCCCTCCCCCTTTCTCTGTTCTAGATGAAGAAAGCAATTTCCAACCTGACAAACCCACCAGCCCCAAAGTGAGCCAGTCCAGCAAGATGAAACGGCACCCCAGCTGCCCTGGTACTGAGGTTGGGCTGAGACCCTGCCTCTCTTCCCCCGTCACCCCTTACCCCCACTCCAACCCAGCTCCATTCCTTGGCATAACAGACAACTCTAACCTAGCCCAGAAGATGGCTCATCCTGGGTGTGACGATGGCTCCTGCCTTGAAAGACAAATCCCACCTTGGACAGAGCTAAGTGTGAGATGACGGAAAACCAGTATCTGCCAGGAGCTCAGTGACTGGCCATCACATTAATGAATAACGAGATTGGAGTACGCTGTCACCAAGGGCAGGCACAGATGCTCTCTGGGGTTGTCTGATTCCCATTGAGAAGCTCCAGAGAAAAATAAAGCTGGTTCCCAGAGCTGCTGTCCATCCCTCATCTCAGCTGCAAGGTTACTGGCCTGGGACTGGAGCTCCTCACCTGCGATGGCCCAGAGTGAGTTTCCCGTGGTCATGTGGACACTGCAGGCTCAGGCCCCAGGGCTCCCCTCCTCATGCTCCACTTCTTGGCAGGGAGATGGTAGGGAGAGAGGGTCTCCACCAGGTCTATGATGCTTGTCCTCATGAATAAGTGGGACGCTGTGTCATTCAAGCCCTAGTCTCCTGCTTGGTTGAGCCACATCTCATAAAGCCAGGACCCAAGTGTGGTTCCTTGGGGAGTCCACCGAGCCTTGGGCATCCTCCATGAGTCTTCTACACCTGGGTGGCTCAGGTTGACTGGCTGTTTATGTGTTGGGGTTAAGGGTCCTCCCTGACTCCCTCTGGACTCTCCCCAGGGGCCCAAGGTCACATCTTCCCCAGCAGAGACCAGGCCAAAATCACCAGGGTGAACCCACCACTTTAATGTCCTCAGAGAACCTTGAGTGAGATGGGAGGGAGCTGTAAGGAGCGAGAGTGGGCTCCCGGGGGTGAGGAGCAGGGGACACCGAGGAAGCAGGTTCAGAGAGGGAGGAACAGAGAGACAAACACTCCAGAGAGACAGATGTCCTGGTGAGGACAGCCGGGGAGCAGGTGCTTAGCTACCAGAAGTGGCCACCCCACCTTTGCTGGGGGGCAGACACACAGAGAGAGTGGGGAGGGACTGAGCCCCAGGTACAGGCAGGGTTCCCAGACTCCCCTCTAAGTGGGTCTCAGTTCTCTCCATGGCTGTCCTCTTGGGGGCCTGGCTGTTGCTCCTCTGGGCCAGGCTGCCCTGGTGTCTCTGAGAGTCCTTGAGTTCCCTGAGGGCAGACACCCTGCAGGGGAAGGTGCCCACCTGAGTGAAGTAATGAAGGAGGAGGGGGTTATGGCTGCCACTGCTGGGGCAGGTCCGCCGAGGCACAGAGAGGCCATGATGAGCGCTGGCCCCATCCCTGCCACACCTACCCTGTGCCTACCCGAGGGGTCAAGAGATGCCCTGCCCTGGACCCCGGGATCCAGATATGCCTGGACTGCCCACCAGGCGAGGTCATGGTGTGAGCAGGTGCTGGACCAGCACAGCCCCCGCCTCAGTTATAGAACACCTCGTCCTCCTCCCAGACGGAACCGCTCTCCACAGAGGGGAGGGAGCCCGGTAGGTGTGTCCCACCCTCGGGTCCTTGGTGCCCAGGCCGCCGCCGCTGATGCTGCAGCTCTGGGCTGGGGGGCTGTGGGATGCCAGCGGTGCTGGGGGGCTCCTCCAGTGAGGGACAGCTCTCAGGGGAGAGGCTGGGCGAGGAGAAGGCCTGAAGGCTGTCATCCTGCGAGGGGCCACTGGGAAGGCTGTCCTGAAGGTAGATGCTCTCCAGATCCGGAAAAGCAACAGAGCAACAGGGTGACGGGGGAATGGCATCCCGAATCTGGCTCTTTGCCCTCTCCGGGGGTGTGAGAAAGGGCAAGGGGCAGAAGACCTGCCTCTAAATCCAGCTGTGTGACTGGTGAGCATTGTGACCTTGGTCAAGTCACCAAAATCCTCTGAGCCCCAGGTTCCTCCTCGAGGCAGTAAACAGAGGAATCAAGAGTGGGCTTGGAGCCAGCCTGTGCTCTCTGAGAACTGGGACAACCAGTGCTCCCCTGGGCCTCTGTCCCCTCCCCGTTCCTCTCCATCTGTCAGGGAGGATTAAGCGCAGGCTTCCCCCAAGGCCAAGGCTCCTTGAAGCCCTCAATAGTAACCTGGGCTTCTAGAAAGGCGGTTGCTTGTGTCTGGTGCTAAGTTTCAAATCCAGCTCTGACGCTTCTAACTGTGTCATTTGGAGTAAGTTTCTGAACCTCTGTATGCCTCTGTTTCCTTATTTGTAAAATGGGGACAACAGGACCCCCCTCCCTAGGGCTGCTGTGAGGATTCTGTGAGATGCCTCGTGCACAGCCCTCAGTGCAGTAAGCACTCGATTCCCGCCCCCACTGTGCTCATTCTCTCCTTCCTGCTCCTGGCACTGCCGGGCAATGGGCAGGGCAAGGATCACTGCCGCATTTTGCAGATGAAGAAACTTAGGCTGAGAAATGGAAGGGGCTTGGCCGAGGTCACACTGCATTTGGTGGTGGGCAGGCATCCAGCCTCAGCTCCGCTCTGCTCACCCCTGCCCCCGGACCTCCTGGGCTGTACCTTGGAGCTGGACGATGCCCTGGGGGCTGTTCTCGGGGTGCAGTTCCTCGTCGTCCAGCGAGGACCAAGCGCTCAGTGTGGCCTCTGTGATGGCAAACTGCTCGGCGACCCCTGGGGGGACAGCGAGATCTGGCTCAGAGGGGAATGGGTGGGGACAGCCTCAGTGCCCCATGGAGCTGCTCCAGGACAGGCTGGAGCGTGGCCGCCTCTCAGCGCTGCCCGTCCACGCCCCAGTGGTCAAGAATGCTCACTTAATAGCCCCCCACCCTATGCCATTATTTTTTCCTGCCCAGACAATGCCCATGCAGTGATCTGGGCCCCTCAAGGTCCCAGCTTCACCCCCACAGAGCCCTGGCCAGTCCCCCTCCTCACTGACCTGCAGCAAAGCGGGCCTCACGCAGCTCGTCTGGGAGGCAGCAGTAATGCTCGTCCTCAGCTGGGGACAGCTCCCAGCCTGCCCGCTGGGCACTCCAGCCCTTCCACTCGATGAGGTGGGCCACGCGGCCTCAGGCCATGGCCGTGGGCTTTGTGATGTGGTCCTTGATGCTCTGCACCACCCCTGGGGCATGGAGGGCATCTGGGCGACTGTCCTGACACAAGGCCCAGCCCAGGGCCTGGCCTCCATGCCTCAGGCCCACCTGGTGGCCTGTACCCCACATTCCCTCAGTGTGCCACAGTCTCCATCAGTGCCCCACACCTCCCCAAGGGCTTATACCCATCTAATTCCTCATGCCCTCCAAAGCCTCCTCCTCACTCCTGCCCTGAGGCCTCTGAGCTCTGCGGTCCCCTCCCCTCAATGCCCCCACCCACTGGCATCAGCATTTCCTCCCAGCATCCTACTCCTAGTCTGTGTTCCCGCCCACTGGGTGCCTCTTCCCCAGATTGCCCACACCCCTCACTCCCTTTCTGACTAAGTTCAGACCCTTCCGCCCAAGGAGATCCACCCGAGGACCACTCATGAGCCCCCAGCTTTCTCCATGATCCATTAAACACATTCTGAGAGAGCATCTCTGTGGCCTCCAGCTCTGCTGGAGGTGAGACCTGGGTGGATGGAGCAGGCAGGGAAGGCTTCCTGGAAGAGGGGACCTGGCATTGGAATTTGAAGGTGGGTTGGGTTTGGACAGATAGAGGCAAGACTGGAGGTTTCATTTCAGAGATGAGACGAGGATGAAGGCATGGAAGAGTCTGGCATGAGTCCAGGACTAGCTGGGGTGAGACATGGGGTCCACATTAGGACTGGCCGACAGGAGAAGCTGGGAGCTGATCAGGGCCAGAACAGGGTTGGAGAGAACCAGGTGGAGGGCTCAGATATTCTCCTTGTGCAATGGGGAGCCCCAGCAGAGTAATGAGCAAGAGAGTGAGCAGTTAGCACAGCTGTTTAGAAAGACACCCCAGTTGGAAGATTAGGGGTTACTGCAAGGACCCAGCAACAGACATGGCAAGGGCTGGGCAGACAGAGAGGAGGGGTCGGGGGCTTTAGGAGGAGAGGAGTTGTGTGTGGAAGATAGAGAGGGGCTGTCAGCAAAGGTTCAGGATTGTCATTAACCAAGTCTGACAACACAGATCTGGGAGTCACCGGGGTCTCCGAAGCCATGATGTGAGGAATGGTGATATTTAAGAAAGACGAGGCTTGGTGTGGTGGCTCATGCCTATAATCCCAGTGCTTTGGGAGGCCAAGACGGGAAGATCACTTGAGGTCAGGAGTTTGAGACCAGCCTGGCCAACATGGTAAAATCCTGTCATCCTGTCTCTATTAAAAATACACACACACACACACACACACAGAGTAGCTGGGCCTGTAATCTCAGCTGCTTGGGAGGCTGAGGCAGGAGAATCTCTTGAACCTGGGAGGTGAAGGTTGCAGTGAGCGGAGATCGCACCACGGCACTCCAGCCTGGGTGACAGACTGAGAAGAAAGAGGAGGTATCCACAAAGGAAATTAGAGAGCTGGGAAAATGGGAAAGATGGGTGTGTGGAAGCAAGGGGAGAATCTCGCTCCCAATCACTAAAGTGGGGGGTGTTGGGTATCTAAGAAGGTGTTTTGAAGAAGGCGGGGGTTCAAGTGGCTCTTGAAAGGTAGGTGCAGCGGTCTAAGGTGCTGCGGGTGGAAGAGAAAGGCACAGGCCAATGTGGGGAGGGCCCCAGGGGTCCCGGGGGAGCTGGGCGGGCTTTAGTGAAGCAAAGCCTGCAGGGCATGGAGCAGAGCTGGGTATGCATAAGCAGGTGAAGGCCACGCTGGTGCCACCTGATGCCGTGGTGATCACCGACACCTCCTTTACTGTGCCAGGAGCCTATCCCCATCTGCTTCAGGTGCTGCTGCTGTGAGCTCACACCTACAACCGTATCTGCAGAACCGCCCTGAGCCAATGGGAGCTGCCTCACCCAGATATGCCCGGGAGGCTGCAAATTCCTCCCCAGGGGCAGCCAGTGAGGCAGCAGTGGGAGAGTATAAAGTCCAGCCCCTGGCCGGGCGCAGTGGCTCAGGCCTATAATCCCAGCCCTTCGGGAGCCTGAGGCGGGCAGATCACTTGAGGTCAGGAGTTCAAGACCAGTCTGGTCAACATGGTGAAACCCTGTCTCTACTAAGAATACAAAAGTTAGCTGGGTGTAGTGGCGCATACCTGTAATCCCAGCTACTTGGGCAGCTGAGGCAGGAGAATTGCTTGATCTCGGGAGGTGGAGGTTGCGGTGAGCCAAGATCACACCACTGCACTCCAGCCTGGGTGACGGAGTGACACTCTGTCTCTCAAAATAAATAAAATAAAATAAAATAAAATAATAAAATAAAATAAAAACAATAA